TAATAGTCTTAATAGTCCTAATAGTCTGTAATCTAGTCTTAATAGTCTCTAATAGTCTGTAATAGTCTCTAATAGTCTGTAATAGTCTGTAATAGTCTATAATAGTCTGGTAATAGTCTCTAATAGTCTGTAATAGTCTATAATAGTCTCTAATGTCTCTAATAATTTCTAATAGTCTGTAAGTCGTAATAGTCTATAATAGTCTATAGTCTGTAATAGTCTGTAATAGTCTCTAATAGTCTGTTAATAGTCTGTAATAGTCTATAAGTCTCTAATAGTCTCTAATAGTCTCTAATAGTCTATAATAGTCTCTAATAGTCTATAATAGTCTGTAATAGTCTCTAATAGTCTCTAATAGTCTATAATAGTCTCTAATAGTCTATAATAGTCTCTAATAGTCTATAATAGTCTATAATAGTCTGTAATAGTCTATAGTCTGTAATAGTTTGTAATAGTCTGTAATAATCTCTAATAGTCTATAATAGTCTATAATAGTCTGTAGTAATGTAATAGTCTCTAATAGTCTATAATAGTCTCTAATAGTCTATAATAGTTTGTAATAGTCTCTATAGTCTCTAATAGTCTGTAAGTCTATAATAGTCTTAATAGTCGTAATAGTCTGTAATAGTTTGTAATAGTCTGTAATAGTCTGTAATAGTCTATAATAGTCTATCTTAGTCTGTAATAGTCTGTAATAGTAACTGTAGTTTTGTAATAGTCTGTAATAGTCTATAATAGTCTATAATAGTCTCTTACAGTTTATAATAGTCTGTAATAGTCTGTAATAGTTTGTAATAGTCTGTAATAGTCTCTAATAGTCTCTAATAGTCTGTAATAGTCTGTAATAGTCTGTAATAGTCTCTAATAGTCTGTAATAGTCTGTAATAGTCTGTAATAGTCTGTAATAGTCTATAATAGTCTCTAATAGTCTCTAATAGTTTCTAATAGTCTGTAATAGTCTGTAATAGTCTATAATAGTCTGTAATAGTCTGTAATAGTCTGTAATAGTCTCTAATAGTCTCTAATAGTCTCTAATAGTCTGTAATAGTCTATAATAGTCTCTAATAGTCTCTAATAGTCTGTAATAGTCTATAATAGTCTCTAATAGTCTGTAATAGTCTCTAATAGTCTGTAAGTCTGTAATGTCTATAATAGTCTGTAATAGTCTCTAATAGTCTGTAATAGTCTATAATAGTCTCTAATAGTCTCTATTAATTTCTAATAGTCTGTAATAGTCTGTAATAGTCTATAATAGTCTATAATAGTCTGTAATAGTCTGTAATAGTCTCTAATAGTCTGTAATAGTCTGTAATAGTCTATAATAGTCTCTAATAGTCTCTAATAGTCTGTAATAGTCTATAATAGTCTCTAATAGTCTATAATAGTCTGTAATAGTCTCTAATAGTCTCTAATAGTCTATAATAGTCTCTAATAGTTTCTAATAGTCTGTAATAGTCTCTAATAGTCTATAATAGTCTATAATAGTCTGTAATAGTCTATAATAGTCTGTAATAGTTTGTAATAGTCTGTAATAGTCTCTAATAGTCTATAATAGTCTATAATAGTCTGTAATAGTCTGTAATAGTCTCTAATAGTCTATAATAGTCTCTAATAGTCTATAATAGTTTGTAATAGTCTCTAATAGTCTGTAATAGTCTGTAATAGTCTATAATAGTCTGTAATAGTCTGTAATAGTCTGTAATAGTTTGTAATAGTCTGTAATAGTCTGTAATAGTCTATAATAGTCTATAATAGTCTGTAATAGTCTGTAATAGTCTGTAATAGTTTGTAATAGTCTGTAATAGTCTCTAATAGTCTATAATAGTCTGTAATAGTCTGTAATAGTCTGTAATAGTCTGTAATAGTTTGTAATAGTCTGTAATAGTCTATAATAGTCTATAATAGTCTGTAATAGTCTGTAATAGTTTGTAATAGTCTGTAATAGTCTCTAATAGTCTCTAATAGTCTCTAATAGTCTATAATAGTCTGTAATAGTCTGTAATAGTCTGTAATAGTTTGTAATAGTCTGTAATAGTCTCTAATAGTCTATAATAGTCTGTAATAGTCTGTAATAGTTTGTAATAGTCTATAATAGTCTCTAATAGTCTGTAATAGTTTGTAATAGTCTCTAATAGTCTGTAATAGTCTGTAATAGTCTATAATAGTCTGTAATAGTCTGTAATAGTCTGTAATAGTCTGTAATAGTCTCTAATAGTCTGTAATAGTCTGTAATAGTCTATAATAGTCTATAATAGTCTGTAATAGTCTCTAATAGTCTCTAATAGTCTCTAATAGTCTGTAATAGTCTGTAATAGTCTATAATAGTCTGTAATAGTCTGTAATAGTCTGTAATAGTCTATAATAGTCTATAATAGTCTGTAATAGTCTGTAATAGTCTGTAATAGTCTCTAATAGTCTGTAATAGTCTATAATAGTCTGTAATAGTCTGTAATAGTCTGTAATAGTCTATAATAGTCTGTAATAGTCTGTAATAGTCTGTAATAGTCTCTAATAGTCTGTAATAGTCTCTAATAGTCTGTAATAGTCTGTAATAGTCTGTAATAGTCTCTAATAGTCTGTAATAGTCTGTAATAGTCTGTAATAGTCTGTAATAGTCTCTAATAGTCTCTAATAGTCTGTAATAGTCTGTAATAGTCTGTAATAGTCTCTAATAGTCTCTAATAGTCTGTAATAGTCTCTAATAGTCTGTAATAGTCTATAATAGTCTCTAATAGTCTGTAATAGTCTGTAATAGTCTGTAATAGTCTGTAATAGTCTCTAATAGTCTGTAATAGTCTGTAATAGTCTATAATAGTCTATAATAGTCTGTAATAGTCTGTAATAGTCTGTAATAGTCTGTAATAGTCTATAATAGTCTATAATAGTCTGTAATAGTCTCTAATAGTCTCTAATAGTCTCTAATAGTCTCTAATAGTCTGTAATAGTCTGTAATAGTCTGTAATAGTCTGTAATAGTCTCTAATAGTCTGTAATAGTCTGTAATAGTCTGTAATAGTCTATAATAGTCTGTAATAGTCTGTAATAGTCTGTAATAGTCTATAAAATAGTCTGTAATAGTCTGTAATAGTCTCTAATAGTCTCTAATAGTCTGTAATAGTCTGTAATAGTCTGTAATAGTCTATAATAGTCTATAATAGTCTCTAATAGTCTCTAATAGTCTGTAATAGTTTGTAATAGTCTCTAATAGTCTGTAATAGTCTGTAAGTCTGTAATAGTCTATAATAGTCTCTAATAGTCTCTAATAGTCTCTAATAGTCTATAATAGTCTGTAATAATCTGTAATAGTCTGTAATAGTCTGTAATAGTTTGTAATAGTTTGTAATAGTCTCTAATAGTCTGTAATAGTCTATAATAGTCTCCAATAGTCTCTAATAGTCTGTAATAGTTTGTAATAGTTTGTCATAGTCTCTAATAGTCTCTAATAGTCTCTAATAGTCTCTAATAGTCTCTAATAGTCTGTAATAGTTTGTAATAGTCTCTAATAGTCTCTAATAGTCTCTAATAGTCTCTAATAGTCTCTAATAGTCTGTAATAGTCTGTAATAGTCTCTAATAGTCTCTAATAGTCTGTAATAGTCTATAATAGTCTCTAATAGTCTCTAATAGTCTGTAATAGTCTGTAATAGTCTGTAATAGTTTGTAATAGTCTGTAATAGTCTCTAATAGTCTCTAATAGTCTCTAATAGTCTGTAATAGTCTATAATAGTCTATAATAGTCTCTAATAGTCTCTAATAGTCTCTAATAGTCTGTAATAGTCTGTAATAGTCTGTAATAGTCTATAATAGTCTGTAATAGTCTGTAATAGTTTGTAATAGTCTCTAATAGTCTCTAATAGTCTGTAATAGTCTGTAATAGTCTATAATAGTTTGTAATAGTCTGTAATAGTCTATAATAGTTTGTAATAGTCTCTAATAGTCTGTAATAGTCTGTAATAGTCTATAATAGTTTGTAATAGTCTGTAATAGTCTGTAATAGTCTATAATAGTTTGTAATAGTCTGTAATAGTCTATAATAGTTTGTAATAGTCTGTAATAGTCTATAATAGTTTGTAATAGTCTCTAATAGTCTGTAATAGTCTGTAATAGTCTATAATAGTTTGTAATAGTCTGTAATAGTCTGTAATAGTTTGTAATAGTCTCTAATAGTCTCTAATAGTCTGTAATAGTCTGTAATAGTCTGTAATAGTCTCTAATAGTCTGTAATAGTCTGTAATAGTCTGTAATAGTCTCTAATAGTCTCTAATAGTCTGTAATAGTCTATAATAGTCTCTAATAGTCTATAATAGTCTGTAATAGTCTATAATAGTCTATAATAGTCTCTAATAGTCTCTAATAGTCTCTAATAGTCTGTAATAGTCTGTAATAGTCTGTAATAGTCTCTAATAGTCTATAATAGTCTCTAATAGTCTCTTACAGTTTGTAATAGTCTGTAATAGTTTGTAATAGTCTGTAATAGTCTGTAATAGTCTCTAATAGTCTCTAATAGTCTCTAATAGTCTCTTACAGTTTGTAATAGTCTGTAATAGTCTGTAATAGTCTGTAATAGTCTGTAATAGTCTCTAATAGTCTCTTACAGTTTTGTAATAGTCTCTAATAGTCTGTAATAGTCTGTAATAGTCTCTAATAGTCTGTAATAGTCTGTAATAGTCTCTAATAGTCTCTTACAGTTTGTAATAGTCTGTAATAGTCTGTAATAGTCTGTAATAGTCTCTAATAGTCTCTAATAGTCTCTTACAGTTTGTAATAGTCTGTAATAGTCTGTAATAGTCTGTAATAGTCTCTAATAGTCTCTTACAGTTTGTAATAGTCTCTAATAGTCTGTAATAGTCTGTAATAGTCTCTAATAGTCTGTAATAGTCTGTAATAGTCTGTAATAGTCTCTAATAGTCTCTTACAGTTTGTAATAGTCTGTAATAGTCTGTAATAGTCTCTAATAGTCTCTTACAGTTTGTAATAGTCTGTAATAGTCTCTAATAGTCTCTCTGTTTATAGGGTGGTACCTTCTGAGGGGTGGGCTTCAGGCCGGAGCAGTTTGGGGGAGAGGGGGGCAGCGTACGGGGGGGAGACCCCAGATAGACTCCTCTTCCCCCCCCGAGCCAGAGAGGGAGCCTCCAGAGCCTCCTGCTTCACTGAGACACAACACAACACTACTGACTCCATAGAAACACAGGATACTCTGTGCTGAGGCTGATCAGGACCCCCCACTCGTGTGTGTGTGTGTGTTGTGTGTGTGTGTGTGTGTGTGTGTGAGTGTGTGTGTTGTGTGTGTGTGTGTGTGTGAGAGAGTGTGTGTGTGTGTGTGTGTGTTGATGATAGTGCAGTGGTTACCTGACTTCCTGTGGTACAGGCTGAAGGGCTGGCTGCTGAACAGACTGTCACACTGAAGATGTCGACACATGTTTTCCAGGAACCGAAGCACGAAGGAAGCACTAGAGGCCGAGGGCAGGCGGACCACCCGGACCCCCCCGTCCGTCCTCACTGAGACAGACAGGACAGGGTTCATTTAAATCTTATTAACAGGTGATATCAGTGTGTGTGTGTGTGTGTGTGTGTACCTCTGACGACGCACCCCCCCCCCCGGCCTGGCTCTGAAGGGTTAGTGTTTACAGGTGATATCAGTGTGTGTGTGTGTGTGTGTGTGTGTGTGTTTGTGTGTGTGTGTGTGTGTGTACCTCTGACAGCGCCCCCCCCCCCGGCCTGGCTCTGCAGGCTGCTCAGCAGGACTCTGGGCTGGGGGGTGCAGCTGATGCAGGCCTGCACCACCTCCTGCAGCACAGAGTTCACCGGCCCCGGGCCGAAGTGATCCGGCAGACGCTGCATCTGCTTCCTGTCCAGGTGGGGGCCGCAGTCCCCACTCTTATTCACGTACACACACACTGCAACACACACACACATGAGATACTATATATTTTAATGTTATTATAGTTTCCTTAAAATAGTTTTGTTTTTACTTTGATGTATGCACCACGACACCAAGTCAAATTCCTCGTACGTGTCAATCTACCTGGTTCTGAGATAATGAGAGCAGAGCTGTGATTGGATAACCAGAGGAGGGTTAGTTTACCTGTCGAGACCACAGAGGTGAGGCTGGGGGGGCCGTCCTGAGGGACCTGACTGCTCTGCAGCTGGGGGGGGCTCTGCAGCATCTTGGACTTCCTCTGGAAAACACACACTCATCAGCACACACACTCATCAGCACACACACTCATCAGCACACACACTCATCAGCACACACACTCATCAGCACACACACTCATCAGCACACACACTCATCAGCACACACTCATCAGCACACACTCTCATCAGCACACACACTCATCAGCACACACTCTCATCAGCACACACACTCATCAGCACATACACTCATCAGCACACACACTCATCAGCACACACACTCATCAGCACACACACTCATCAGCACACACACTCATCAGCACACCACCTATCAGCACACACACCATCAGCACACCACTCATCAGCACACACACTCATCAGCACACACACTCATCAGCAACACACTCACCAGCACACACACTCATCAGCACACACACTCATCAGCACACACACTCATCAGCACACACTCATCAGCACACACACTCAGCACACACACTCATCAGCACACACTCATCAGCACACACTCATCAGCACACACACTCATCAGCACACACACTCATCAGCACACACTCATCAGCACACACACTCATCAGCACACACACTCATCAGCACACACTCATCAGCACACACTCATCAGCACACACACTCATCAGCACACACTCATCAGCACACTCATCAGCACACACATCATCAGCAACACACCTCATCAGCAACATCCTCAGCACACCTACTCATCCAGCACACACTCATCAGCACACACCTCATCAGCACACACCTCATCAGCACACACTCATCAGACACACACTCATCAGCACACACACTTCATCAGCACCACTCATCAGCACACACACGCATCAGCACACTCATCAGCACACCCTCAACATCATCCCAGCACACTACACTCATCAGCACCACCATCGCACAACACTCATCAGCACACACTCTCATCAGCACACACACTCATCAGCACACACACTCATCAGCACACACACTCATCAGCACACACTCATCAGCACACACACTCATCAGCACACACACTCATCAGCACACACACTCATCAGCACACACCACTCATCAGCACACACACTCATCAGCACACACTCATCAGCACACACACTCCTCAGCACACACTCTCATCAGCACACACTCATCAGCACACACACTCATCAGCACACACACTCATCAGCACACACTCATCAGCACACACACTCATCAGCACACACACTCATCAGCACACACTATTACAATGAAGTCACAACAAATATGTTTATGTTGTTGTTGTTTTCTACATGGAGATAAGCCCCGCCTCCTTCAGTGCGTCTGGTTTGAGTGACGTGAGTAAACACCAATGATGCGGCCGTAAGACTCGTGCGAGGGTGAACCCTAACACCAGTCGTGTGTCAGCGAGTCGTCTCTCAACCCGTGACGTTTCACACAGAGGAGAGGGGGAGACGAGAGGAGATGATTTTTGGACTATTCCACTGCAACCTAGGTGAGTCTCCAGAGTCTCGGATCAGGTCTAGGGTCAGGTCTCAGGTCTAGGATCAGGTCTCAGGTCTAGGGTCAGGTCTAGGATCAGGTCTCAGGTCTAGGATCAGGTCTCAGGTCTAGGGTCAGGTCTAGGATCAGGTCTCAGGTCTTAGGTCTAGGATCAGGTCTCAGGTCATAGGTCTAGGATCAGGTCTCAGGTCTCTGATCAGGTCTCAGGTCTAGGATCAGGGCTCAGGTCTCTGATCAGTTCTCTGAGTCTCTGATCAGGTCTCAGGTCTAGGACCAGATCTCAGGTCTCACCTTGCTCCCTGGTTTGGGGCCCCTCTTCTTGGGCAGTCTGGTCTCCAGGTCTGGGATCAGGTCTGGAATCAGGTCCTGGTCTCCAGCTGTGTTCAGGGCTTTGGCCTCAGCCAGACCCCTCAGCAGGGCCAGGGTCTCGCTCTTGGGCCGGCGGCCTCGGACTCCCTTCCTGACGGGCAGGGGGGGCATGGGGGGGGTCAGCCGGTGGGGGGGGCTGCAGGGACCTCCTGCTGGGCTTACATGGGGGGGAGGCAGGGAGGGGGGGCGGGGGCTTCTGGAGGGAGACTGTGGGACCAGAACCACAAAGGGAGAGGTTAGAAACCTGAAGAACTGAACTGAGGTCAGTCCTGCAACAGATAGATGTACCATAATATAACTAATATAATATATCTAATTTAATATACCTAATATAATATATCTAATTTAATATACCTAATATAATATACCTAATATAATATATCTCATATACCTAATTTAATATACCTAATATAATATATATATATATTATAACTCTGAACAGAACCAGCCTCACGTGTTTCAGAGGAATCACACACACACACACACACACACACACACACACACACACACACACACACACACACACACACACACACACACACACACCACACACACACACACAACACACACACACACACACACACACACACACACACACACACACACACACACACACACACACACACACACACACACACACACTAAACTGCTCTATTGCACCGATAAGGTATTTATATATTACTGAGGGTGTGTGTGTGTGTGTGTGTGTGTGTGTGTGTGTGTGTGTGTGTGTGTGTGTGTGTGTGTGTGTGTGTGTGTGTGTGTGTGTGTGTGTGTGTGTGTCCTCACCACTGTTCCCTGGTGCCTGCAGGCTGTGTGTAGTGAGGGAACACCAGCCCACTGGGAACATGTCTCTGGACTCGTAGAGGCACCAGTAGTCGAAGGCTCCTCTCCAGCCATCGAACATCACGAACACCTCGTCTCCCTTCACCTCGCCCACGGTTGCCGGGCAGATTAGGTAGGGGTTCTTCTTGTCCACGGCCTCCAGCTTCATGCCAGGTCTGAACAGGTTCTGGGGGGGGCCGCGGGGGCTCCTGGACACAGGGAGACCCTCATTGGAACAGCGCTTCTCATATCATATCTCATCATATTTTTAGGGCTGTCAAGTTAACGCGTTAATAACGCGTTAACGCAAAAAAAAATTAACGCCACTAATTATTTTAACGCGATTAACGCATGTGTATTTTTTGTCCTTGGCCGCCCCGTAGTTTCAGAGCGCATCGAGTGAATACCATCGACAAGCTGATGCTGACAGCCTCGCTCCTGCCGCCCGCTTGTGGCAGACCACACTTCCACGCTCACCGGCAGGCCCGGACTGGCCATCGGGAGGACCGGGAGGGTGTGTGTATGTGTGGCGCGACTCGCGCGAGCGAGGCACACCTTACGGGTTGTTGTTGTTAGCATCTGGTGCTAGCTAGCTGCGCTAACGGATATAAGGAGCTGTTTCAATGACATTTCGCCGACAACTGCGCCGAGCACTTGACTTTATGCAGGTAGCCAGACAGTGGGACATTGTACGAAAAGTCAGCACACTCAGCACGGATAGTATGCGCTACATGATTGCAGCGTCCAGGCAGCTCCCATTAGAGCATATTATGCCTTGAGCTGCACATAGCTCAACGATCCATCACAGTGTCTCCACACACACACACACACACACACACACACACACACACACACACACACACACACACACACACACACACACACACACACACACACACACACACACACACACACACACACACACACACACACACACACACACACACACACACACACACACACACACACACCACACACACACACACACACACACCACACACACACACACACACACACACACACACACACACACACACACACACACACACACACACACACACACACACACACACACACACACAGTATTATTGTATGAGAGAGGTTTCCAGGTTGAATTGAGGCGAATATTTGTAATGTTCAGGTTGTTGTGTTTAATATTCATGAGAATATTTGTCATTGTTCAAATGATAATAAACAAACATATAAAGCATATTTGTCCACTCATATGTTGATAAGAGTATTAAAAACTTGAAAGATATCCCTCTAAGGTACATTTAGAACAGATAAAAAATGTGCGATTAATTTGCGATTAATCGCGATTAACTATTTTAATCGACTGACAGCCCTACATATTTTAAATGTTTATTAAAGGAACCTTTTTGAAGGCGGTGGCCGGAGCCATCTCCGCTCCGTTCAGAGTGCGGAGCAGAAACATGGGCCAGGAGGACGCGTTCATCCGGAAGCCTGAGAGGGTTAACACAATAATATATTACATAATACTCAGTGTGTCCAACAACAGCCCTGAGAGAGCATTACTACATTTATAATAATAATAATAAACAGTTACCCAGGGGGGCTGCAGCATGTCTCTATATAATAATAATACCCAGGAGGGGGCTGCAGCATGTCTCTATATAATAATAATAATACCCAGGGGGGGCTGCAGCATGTCTCTATATAATAATAATAATACCCAGGGGGGGGCTGCAGCATGTCTCTATATAATAATAATAATACCCAGGGGGGCTGCAGCATGTCTCTATATATAATAATAATAATACCCAGGGGGGGCTGCAGCATGTCTCTATATAATAATAATAATACCCAGGGGGGGGCTGCAGCATGTCTCTATATAATAATAATAATACCCAGGGGGGGCTGCAGCATGTCTCTATATAATAATAATAATAATACCCAGGGGGGCTGCAGCATGTCTCTATAATAATAATAATACCCAGGGGGGCTGCAGCATGTCTCTATATAATAATAATAATACCCAGGGGGGGCTGCAGCATGTCTCTATATAATAATAATAATACCCAGGGGGGGCTGCAGCATGTCTCTATATAATAATAATAATAATACCCAGGGGGGGCTGCAGCATGTCTCTATATAATAATAATAATAATACCCAGGGGGGGCTGCAGCATGTCTCTATATAATAATAATAATAATAATACCCAGGGGGGGCTGCAGCATGTCTCTATATAATAATAATAATAATACCCAGGGGGGGCTGCAGCATGTCTCTATATAATAATAATAATACCCAGGGGGGGCTGCAGCATGTCTCTATATAATAATAATAATACCCAGGGGGGGGCTGCAGCATGTCTCTATATAATAATAATAATACCCAGGGGGGGGCTGCAGCATGTCTCTATATAATAATAATAATAATAATAATACCCCAGGGGGGGCTGCAGCATGTCTCTATATAATATAATAATAATACCCAGGGGGGGGGCTGCAGCATGTCTCTATATAATAAATAAAATACCCAGGGGGGGCTGCAGCATGTCTCTATATAATAATAATAATACCCAGGGGGGGCTGCAGCATGTCCTCATATAATAATAATAATAATACCCAGGGGGGGGCTGCAGCATGTCTCTATAATATAATAATAATAATACCCAGGGGGGGCTGCAGCATGTCTCTATATAATAATAATAATACCCAGGGGGGGCTGCAGCATGTCTCTATATAATAATAATAATACCCAGGGGGGGCTGCAGCATGTCTCTATATAATAACTAATAATACCCAGGGGGGGCTGCAGCATGTCTCTATATAATAATAATAATACCCAGGGGGGGGCTGCAGCATGTCTCATATAATAATAATAATAATACCCAGGGGGGGCTGCAGCATGTCTCTATATAATAATAATAATACCCAGGGGGGGGCTGCAGCATGTCTCTATATAATAATAATAATACCCAGGGGGGGCTGCAGCATGTCTCTATATATAATAATAATAATACCCAGGGGGGGCTGCAGCATGTCTCTATATAATAATAATAATACCCAGGGGGGGCTTGCAGCATGTCTCTATATAATAATAATAATACCCAGGGGGGGCTGCAGCATGTCTCTATATAATAATAATAATACCCAGGGGGGGGCTGCAGCATGTCTCTATATAATAATAATAATAATACCCAGGGGGGGCTGCAGCAATGTCTCTATATAATATAATAATAATAATACCCGGGGGGGGGCTGCAGCATGTCTCTATATAATAATAATAATAATACCCAGGGGGGGCTGCAGCATGTCTCTATATAATAATAATAATACCCAGGGGGGGGCTGCAGCATGTCTCTATATAATAATAATAATACCCAGGGGGGGGGCTGCAGCATGTCTCTATATAATAATAATAATACCCAGGGGGGGGCTGCAGCATGTCTCTATATAATAATAATAATAATACCCAGGGGGGGCTGCAGCATGTCTCTATAATAATAATAATAATAATAATAATACCCAGGGGGGGCTGCAGCATGTCTCTATATAATAATAATAATAATAAATAATAATAATAATACCCAGGGGGGGGCTGCAGCATGTCTCTATATAATAATAATAATAATAATAATAATAATAATAATACCCAGGGGGGGCTGCAGCATGTCTCTATATAATAATAATAATACCCAGGGGGGGGCTGCAGCATGTCTCTATATAATAATAATAATAATACCCAGGGGGGGGCTGCAGCATGTCTCTATATAATAATAATAATAATACCCAGGGGGGGCTGCAGCATGTCTCTATATAATAATAATAATACCCAGGGGGGCTGCAGCATGTCTCTATATAATAATAATTAATAATAATATACCCAGGGGGGGCTGGGCAGCATGTCTCTATATAAATAATAATATACCAGGGGGGGGCTGCAGCATGTCTCTATATAATAATAATAATCCCAGGGGGGGGGCTGCAGCATGTCTCTATATAATAATAATAATACCCAGGGGGGGCTGCAGCATGTCTCTATATAGGGGCTGCAGCATGTCTCTATATAATAATAATAATAATAATACCCAGGGGGGCTGCAGCATGTCTCTATATAATAATAATAATAATACCCAGGGGGGGGCTGCAGCATGTCTCTATATAATAATAATACCCAGGGGGGGCTGCAGCATGTCTCTATATAATAATAATACACAGGGGGGGCTGCAGCATGTCTCTATATAATAATAATAATAATAATAATACCCAGGGGGGGCTGCAGCATGTCTCTATATAATAATAATAATAATACCCAGGGGGGGCTGCAGCATGTCTCTATATAATAATAATAATACCCAGGGGGGGCTGCAGCATGTCTCTATATAATAATAATAATACCCAGGGGGGGCTGCAGCATGTCTCTATATAATAATAATAATAATAATACCCAGGGGGGGCTGCAGCATGTCTCTATATAATAATAATAATAATACCCAGGGGGGGCTGCAGCATGTCCCCGTTCTTCTCGCAGCTTCCGATTGGCTGGATGTCGGACGAGTCCACCAGTCTCCAGAAGTCGTTGGAGTTGTCGCTGCCGTCGAGTCGGAGTCGCAGCCGGACCCCCGTCAGACCCATCACCGTGGCGATGCAGACAGACGTTGAGTTTCGGGGGTCCCGAGCCTCAAGTTTCATCCCCGTCTTAAAGTCATTAGAGGGGGGGACCCTGGCCTGAAGACAGAGCGGAAAATATCACTGTTTATCATCAGGTTATCATCAGTCTATCACCAATCTATCAGTCTATCACCAATCTATCAGTCTATCACCAATCTATCATCAGTCTATCAGTCTATCAGTCTATCACCAGTCTATCATCAGTCTATCACCAATCTATCAGTCTATCACCAATCTATCACCAGTCTATCAGTCTATCAGTCTATCATCAGTCTATCATCAGTCTATCATCAGTCTATCACCAGTCTATCACCAGTCTATCATCAGTCTATCATCAGTCTATCACCAGTCTATCATCAGTCTATCATCAGTCTATCATCAGTCTATCAGTCTATCAGTCTATCATCAGTCTATCATCAGTCTATCACCAGTCTATCACCAGTCTATCATCAGTCTGTCATCAGTCTATCACCAGTCTATCATCAGTCTATCACCAGTCTATCACCAGTCTATCATCAGTCTATCACCAATCTATCAGTCTATCATCAGTCTATCATCAGTCTATCAGTCTATCAGTCTATCAGTCTATCATCAGTCTATCAGTCTATCATCAGTCTATCATCAGTCTATCAGTCTATCAGTCTATCATCAGTCTATCATCAGTCTATCATCAATCTATCATCAGTCTATCAGTCTATCATCAGTCTATCAGTCTATCATCAGTCTATCACCAATCTATCATCAGTCTATCATCAGTCTATCACCAATCTATCATCAGTCTATCATCAGTCTATCACCAATCTATCATCAGTCTATCAGTCTATCACCAGTCTATCATCAGTCTATCACCAATCTATCAGTCTATCACCAATCTATCACCAATCTATCAGTCTATCATCAGTCTATCACCAATCTATCAGTCTATCAGTCTATCATCAGTCTATCATCAGTCTATCACCAATCTATCAGTCTATCATCAGTCTATCATCAGTCTATCATCAATCTATCATCAGTCTATCACCAATCTATCAGTCTATCATCAGTCTATCATCAGTCTATCATCAATCTATCATCAGTCTATCAGTCTATCATCAGTCTATCTATCATCAGTCTATCATCAGTCTATCACCAATCTATCAGTCTATCATCAGTCTATCATCAGTCTATCATCAATCTATCATCAGTCTATCAGTCTATCAGTCTATCATCAGTCTATCAGTCTATCATCAGTCTATCAGTCTATCAGTCTATCATCAGTCTATCATCAATCTATCATCAGTCTATCAGTCTATCATCAGTCTATCATCAGTCTATCACCAATCTATCATCAGTCTATCATCAGTCTATCATCAGTCTATCACCAATCTATCAGTCTATCATCAGTCTATCATCAGTCTATCATCAATCTATCATCAGTCTATCAGTCTATCAGTCTATCATCAGTCTATCACCAGTCTATCATCAGTCTATCATCAGTCTATCACCAATCTATCAGTCTATCATCAGTCTATCACCAATCTATCAGTCTATCAGTCTATCATCAGTCTATCATCAGTCTATCACCAATCTATCAGTCTATCATCAGTCTATCATCAGTCTATCATCAATCTATCATCAGTCTATCAGTCTATCAGTCTATCATCAGTCTATCACCAGTCTATCATCAGTCTATCATCAATCTATCATCAGTCTATCAGTCTATCAGTCTATCATCAGTCTATCAGTCTATCAGTCTATCATCAGTCTATCACCAGTCTATCAGTCTATCATCAGTCTATCACCAATCTATCATCAGTCTATCAGTCTATCAGTCTATCATCAGTCTATCATCAATCTATCATCAGTCTATCAGTCTATCAGTCTATCATCAGTCTATCATCAGTCTATCACCAATCTATCAGTCTATCATCAGTCTATCATCAATCTATCATCAGTCTATCATCAATCTATCAGTCTATCAGTCTATCATCAGTCTATCAGTCTATCATCAGTCTATCATCAGTCTATCAGTCTATCATCAGTCTATCAGTCTATCAGTCTATCATCAGTCTATCATCAGTCTATCATCAATCTATCATCAGTCTATCAGTCTATCATCAGTCTATCATCAGTCTATCATCAGTCTATCACCAATCTATCATCAGTCTATCATCAGTCTATCACCAATCTATCATCAGTCTATCATCAGTCTATCACCAGTCTATCACCAGTCTATCATCAGTCTATCACCAATCTATCATCAGTCTATCACCAGTCTATCATCAGTCTATCATCAGTCTATCAGTCTATCACCAGTCTATCACCAGTCTATCATCAGTCTATCAGTCTATCACCAGTCTATCATCAGTCTATCAGTCTATCACCAGTCTATCACCAGTCTATCATCAGTCTATCACCAGTCTATCATCAGTCTATCACCAGTCTATCAGTCTATCATCAGTCTATCATCAGTCTATCATCAGTCTATCATCAGTCTATCATCAGTCTATCATCAATCTATCAGTCTATCATCAGTCTATCATCAGTCTATCAGTCTATCATCAATCTATCACCAGTCTATCAGTCTATCATCAGTCTATCATCAGTCTATCATCAATCTATCATCAGTCTATCACCAGTCTATCACCAGTCTATCACCAGTCTATCATCAGTCTATCATCAGTCTATCACCAGTCTATCATCAATCTATCATCAGTCTATCATCAGTCTATCACCAGTCTATCACCAGTCTATCACCAGTCTATCATCAGTCTATCACCAGTCTATCATCAGGCTATCACCAGTCTATCATCAGTCTATCACCAGTCTATCACCAGTCTATCACCAATCTATCATCAGTCTATCACCAGTCTATCACCAGTCTATCATCAGTCTATCACCAGTCTATCACCAATCTATCATCAGTCTATCATCAGTCTATCATCAATCTATCACCAGTCTATCACCAGTCTATCATCAGTCTATCACCAGTCTATCATCAGTCTATCACCAGTCTATCACCAGTCTATCATCAATCTATCATCAGTCTATCATCAGTCTATCACCAGTCTATCATCAGTCTATCACCAGTCTATCATCAATCTATCATCAGTCTATCATCAGTCTATCATCAATCTATCATCAATCTATCATCAGTCTATCACCAGTCTATCATCAGTCTATCACCAGTCTATCACCAGTCTATCATCAGTCTATCACCAGTCTATCACCAGTCTATCATCAGTCTATCATCAATCTATCATCAGTCTATCATCAGTCTATCACCAGTCTATCACCAGTCTATCACCAGTCTATCACCAGTCTATCACCAATCTATCATCAGTCTATCATCAATCTATCATCAGTCTATCATCAGTCTATCACCAGTCTATCACCAGTCTATCACCAGTCTATCAGTCTATCACCAGTCTATCACCAGTCTATCAGTCTATCACCAGTCTATCACCAGTCTATCATCAGTCTATCACCAGTCTATCATCAGTCTATCATCAGTCTATCATCAGTCTATCATCAGTCTATCAGTCTATCACCAGTCTATCATCAGTCTATCATCAATCTATCATCAGTCTATCATCAGTCTATCACCAGTCTATCACCAGTCTATCACCAGTCTATCAGTCTATCACCAGTCTATCACCAGTCTATCATCAGTCTATCACCAGTCTATCATTAGTCTATCATCAGTCTATCATCAGTCTATCATCAGTCTATCAGTCTATCACCAGTCTATCATCAGTCTATCATCAGTCTATCAGTCTATCATCAGTCTATCAGTCTATCACCAGTCTATCATCAGTCTATCACCAGTCTATCATCAGTCTATCAGTCTATCATCAGTCTATCACCAGTCTATCATCAGTCTATCAGTCTATCATCAGTCTATCATCAGTCTATCACCAGTCTATCATCAATCTATCATCAGTCTATCACCAGTCTATCATCAGTCTATCACCAGTCTATCATCAGTCTATCATCAGTCTATCACCAGTCTATCATCAGTCTATCATCAGTCTATCATCAGTCTATCACCAGTCTATCATCAGTCTATCATCAGTCTATCACCCGTCTATCATCAGTCTATCATCAGTTCATCATCAGTCTATTATGAGTTACTAAATGGAGCAGTACCTGTCTGAAGCAGGCGGGGGGGGCAGGTGTAGCTGACGTCTCCTTCAGGTATTCCTCCCAGCTGAAGGAATCTGATTCACACACAGATGGATGAAATTAACCCTTAAACATGTGGCTCTATGAAACCCAGGGAAGTGGATCAGCTGATCTCCTTAAGAGCCAACGTTTCAGCCTCACTACTCGGCTCCTTAGGGCTCTCTGATAGAGAGATAATGACAGAAAATAAAATATTCACCTTTATTATTTGCAGGAGGCGTCAGAGGAAGCATTCTTCCTGCTTTCTCCTTCTTACCCTCCCTCTGATCTGAAATCACAAACCCATGGAAATACAAAACGTATGAATATCTCACATTTCTGAACAGCCAGGTATAGATTACCCTCCCAGAATATATGTAATGAAAGGTGAAAGCAGCGCCTCTCAGGTGTTTAATGGAGAGATAATGAAGCCTCACCTTTCAGAGCAGTTTTCCCCATGATGACGACCAGCCTGACCAGCTGAGCCTCCCTGTAGATTTACTCTGGAGAGAACAATATATTTGAAATACATCACACACACAATTCATTCTTATTTAAACCGATATATCGACAGAGCCTGAACAGGTTTTATAATTTAATACACATTTGAAATGAATGTGTATTTATAAACAGGAAGAAGAGTCAAGTTATGATGGATAATAACAGTAAAATAAAGTCTTTATCACAGTTAGCATTAGTTATTACTCTGAGGCTTTTAATGAAGAAACATGCTCTTCTTTGGGTAAAAAAAACTGTTATTTGTCAAAGGGGCCAAAAGTTGAGATGTGCCCAAAATTAAATAAGAAATGTATTTGCATTTATTTTTTTATCTCAGAATTCTTAGAAAAAAGTCTCAAAGAAATCTCAGAAATGGTTTTGTATTTAACTTTAGTTCCCCTCATCAGTGTCTCGCATGGCCCTCATCCCCTTCCGTAGATTCTGTCTATAACTCGTGTATTAATATTTCTAGAATTCAGGTTTCTGTGTTAGCTAACCTGGTGACGTCACCTCTCACATGTTAGCAGCACATGTAGCTGTGATGCTAGTTGTTTACACTAAGAACAGCTGATATGTTATACACATGTTATACACATGTTATACACTGTGCTCTCTACAGTGAAACAGAAACACGGCTCCAGGTGATAGACGGGCCCAATGTTGACAACTGATAGCGGCTAACACCTGGAGCTAGCCTGAGCTGCTCCTCTGAGGCTGTTTCTGACACTTTATTAAAGATATAAACACATAACCTGGTCCTTTATCTCTACACTAACCTCTCCTGCTTCTCGCTAAGCTTCACAATAAACAGGACACTCACTCTTTCTTCCGGATGAAGATCCTCTCTACTCGACAGCTGCCATTTTTCCGCTTCACGCTGTAATGTATTCCAAGGGATCGCGAGCAGAGGAAAACACAGAGCGAGCGGCCAATCGGATCTCACGATGCGAGCGGCCAACAGCCAATCGGGAGACGCTTTACTCGCGTCGACCAATCAGCATGCGTCTGTGCTCCTCGGTGTGTCTTTTGGGATTCTGTAAAAGGAAGAGAAGTGAGACGTCTTCTCTTCTGCTCTTCTTCACGAGGCTCTCCTGATGAGGCTCGCGGACAAGAGATGGGTTGGTTAGTGAAGAGGCTCCACGCGGATCAATATAATGAGTCATGTGACCCAAACACCCTAACTTCATCAATATTTAAATAACATAAGATAAGATAAAAGTACTTCTTCAGATATATTAACATACTTTTCAACGACATATTTACTCTGTAGCTGTGTTAGTTTGACAATAAAGAACCTTGAACCTTGAAGTAGGTTTTAGTTTTAATGCAAAAAAATTAAATTAAGCTTCTGATCATCTAAAATAAGAAAAGCTCCATGTTGAGCAACTGACGTGATATACACCTGAACATCAGCAGGAGAGAACTCTTTAAAGTAGAGACACTACATACTGATATACACCTGAACATCAGCAGGAGAGGACTCTTTAAAGTAGAGACACGACATACTGATATACACCTGAACATCAGCAGGAGAGGACTCTTTAAAGTAGAGACACTACATACTGATATACACCTGAACATCAGCAGGAGAGGACTCTTTAAAGTAGAGACACTACATACTGATATACACCTGAACATCATCAGGAGAGGACTCTTTAAAGTAGAGACACTACATACTGATATACACCTGAACATCAGCAGGAGAGGACTCTTTAAAGTAGAGACACTACATACTGATATACACCTGAACATCAGCAGGAGAGGACTCTTTAAAGTAGAGACACGACATACTGATATACACCTGAACATCAGCAGGAGAGGACTCTTTAAAGTAGAGACACTACATACTGATATACACCTGAACATCAGCAGGAGAGGACTCTTTAAAGTAGAGACACTACATACTGATATACACCTGAACATCAGCAGGAGAGAACTCTTTAAAGTAGAGACACTACATACTGATATACACCTGAACATCAGCAGGAGAGGACTCTTTAAAGTAGAGACACGACATACTGATATACACCTGAACATCAGCAGGAGAGGACTCTTTAAAGTAGAGACACTACATACTGATATACACCTGAACATCAGCAGGAGAGGACTCTTTAAAGTAGAGACACTACATACTGATATACACCTGAACATCATCAGGAGAGGACTCTTTAAAGTAGAGACACTACATACTGATATACACCTGAACATCAGCAGGAGAGGACTCTTTAAAGTAGAGACACTACATACTGATATACACCTGAACATCAGCAGGAGAGGACTCTTTAAAGTAGAGACACGACATACTGATATACACCTGAACATCAGCAGGAGAGGACTCTTTAAAGTAGAGACACTACATACTGATATACACCTGAACATCAGCAGGAGAGGACTCTTTAAAGTAGAGACACTACATACTGATATACACCTGAACATCAGCAGGAGAGGACTCTTTAAAGTAGAGACACTACATACTGATATACACCTGAACATCAGCAGGAGAGGACTCTTTAAAGTAGAGACACTACATACTGATATACACCTGAACATCAGCAGGAGAGGACTCTTAAAGTAGAGACACTACACACTGATATACACCTGAACATCAGCAGGAGAGGACTCTTTAAAGTAGAGACACTACATACTGATATACACCTGAACATCAGCAGGAGAGGACTCTTTAAAGTAGAGACACTACATACTGATATACACCTGAACATCATCAGGAGAGGACTCTTTAAAGTAGAGACACTACATACTGATATACACCTGAACATCAGCAGGAGAGGACTCTTTAAAGTAGAGACACTACATACTGATATACACCTGAACATCAGCAGGAGAGGACTCTTTAAAGTAGAGACACTACACACTGATATACACCTGAACATCAGCAGGAGAGGACTCTTTAAAGTAGAGACACTACATACTGATATACACCTGAACATCAGCAGGAGAGGACTCTTTAAAGTAGAGACACTACATACTGATATACACCTGAACATCAGCAGGAGAGGACTCTTTAAAGTAGAGACACTACATACTGATATACACCTGAACATCAGCAGGAGAGGACTCTTTAAAGTAGAGACACTACATACTGATATACACCTGAACATCAGCAGGAGAGGACTCTTTAAAGTAGAGACATACTTATATTTTATCCACATGAAGGCAAAAGTTTGCATCACAGAAAATAAATATTTTATTTTAATTATATTTTAATGTTTAACAGCATTAATCTATATTTTTTACTTATGAAGTGCTTATTGTAGGATATAAAACATATACTAAATATATATATAAAAATGTGGTCTGTAAAACATCCAGAGAACTTTCTGTTCTGCTTCCTCATGGTTTTATTTTCTGAAGGCAGAATAAAACATGTCTGATTTGTCTTCTGAATTTGTCCTCTTAGTGATAATTATATATTTAGATATGATAGGGCTTGTTTAAAGTGATCCTCCTGAACGCGGGGTGTGATCTAGTGAATTATGTAATTGAGAAATTAGAACAATAATACCCCCCCCCCCCCCTCCAACGAAACAGACCGCAACACAGTCTACGCCCCGCCCCCTTTGTGCCGTCCAGCTCTCTGATTGGCCCAAACTTAGGGGGCGTTGGAATAAACAAGTGTTTGCAACGCTCTGATTGGCTGCAGGCCCGCCACTCAGCCTGTTGCCATGGAGACCGTGTTCCTGCTGCTGCATGAAGATCCCTCCGCGGGTGGGTGGCGAGCTCCATTCCTCCACCACAGCCGGAGAGGACTCTATATCTTTACTTCATTTTAATCTTCTTCAGGCTGAGGGATGATCACATTTCCACCGGAAGACCAAGAGGACCCCCCCCCCCCCCCAGCTGCAGGTCAGGTTCAGGTGTTTCTGTTTCTATTACTTCATTTCACCTCCAGAAGCTGCAGGGTCCATGCTCAAAACAGCCATCTGTGTGTGTGTGTGTGTGTGTGTGTGTGTGTGTGTGTGTGTGTGTGTGTGTGTGTGTGTGTGTGTGTGTGTGTGTGCTGAGGAGGTGAGAGCAACAGGAAGTGTGTGTGACAGATATTTAGTTATTTAACTCATCTGTCAGGGACCCCCCCCCCCTGGATGTTTTCTGTTTCTGTGTTACTGATCTGTTTTACTGGTAATAATCAGTCAGGTGTGTGTGTGTGTGTGTGTGTGTGTGTGTGTGTGTGTGTGTGTGTGTGTGTGTGTGTGTGTGTGTGTGGTGTGTGTGTGTGTGTGTGTGTGTGTGTGTGTGTGTGTGTGTGTGTGTGTGTGTGTGTGTGTGTGTGTGTGTGTGTGTGTGTGTGTGTGTGTGTGTGTGTAATGATGATGATAGAGGAGTGTGTGAAGGTGTGTATTCTCAGTGCATTACCACGCATGAGTCACTGTTGGTGGATCTAGTCCTCCACACAGCTCCACTCTGAGGCTCTTCACTGCCAGCAGGCAACAGAACAACATACCTCTAAACTCACACTATATTTAAAAATGAAATGTGCAATTGACTAAATAAATATATAAAAACATGATTCACAGACTCCAATGACGTACAATTACTACTTAATATCTTTATTTTTTCACTTATTTATTTATGAGAATGTGCAAAAATAATTAATGTAAAAATACTATAAATCTGTAAGTATTAATAAAGGTATTAATTATTACTGTTTACTGACGACAGAAATGACATTTAATCTAACATTGAAAAGCTTTCCACTATCATCCTATGAATTAAGCCTTTCATTTGAGTAGACGTATATTCATACTGTGATCGCCCTCTGTTTAATGTGTACTACACATACTCGTATATTCATACTGTGATCGCCCTCTGTTTAATGTGTACTACATATACTCGTATATTCATACTGTGATCGCCCTCTGTTTAATGTGTACTACATATACTCGTATATTCATACTGTGATCGCCCTCTGTTTAATGTGTACTACACATACTCGTATATTCATACTGTGATCGCCCTCTGTTTAATGTGTACTACATATACTCGTATATTCATACTGTGATCGCCCTCTGTGTAATGTGTACTACACATACTCGTATATTCATACTGTGATCGCCCTCTGTTTAATGTGTACTACACATACTCGTATATTCATACTGTGATCGCCCTCTGTTTAATGTGTACTACATATACTCGTATATTCATACTGTGATCGCCCTCTGTGTAATGTGTACTACACATACTCGTATATTCATACTGTGATCGCCCTCTGTTTAATGTGTACTACACATACTCGTATATTCATACTGTGATCGCCCTCTGTGTAATGTGTACTACATATACTCGTATATTCATACTGTGATCACCCTCTGTTTAATGTGTACTACATATACTCGTATATTCATACTGTGATCACCCTCTGTTTAATGTGTACTACATATATATTCATACTGTGATCGCCCTCTTCGTAATGTGTACTACATATACTCGTATATTCATACTGTGATCGCCCTCTGTTTAATGTGTACTACATATACTCGTATATTCATACTGTGATCACCCTCTGTTTAATGTGTACTACATATACTCGTATATTCATACTGTGATCACCCTCTGTGTAATGTGTACTACATATACTCGTATATTCATACTGTGATCGCCCTCTGTGTAATGTGTACTACATATACTCGTATATTCATACTGTGATCACCCTCTGTGTAATGTGTACTACATATACTCGTATATTCATACTGTGATCACCCTCTGTGTAATGTGTACTACATATACTCGTATATTCATACTGTGATCACCCTCTGTGTAATGTGTACTACATATACTCGTATATTCATACTGCAGTGTTTCCCGGATGGCGTCATAGCAGCGGTGCTAAGGCACGTGGGCTCAGCATAATGTGAGCGCGGAGCGCATGGAATTTTTTAGTGTGTGC